GAATGCCAAGTGTCCCTTAGGGTTACACAGTCCATTTCCCATTTGAAAGGAGAAACAGACAGACAGATTCAAGCTTCTCCCAGTCAGCACTCTTTGCCTTGAAAATTGAGGCCACTTGGGATTTTAGTCCCCTGAGAATCTTACACCTCCCTGGCCCAGAAGGTAGGGGCCATGCTGCTGGCACCAAGGGCCTAATTATTAACTGAAAGAAGAGGTGACTTCAGTTCCATGACAGGGGAAAGAGGAAAAAAAATAGGACATGTAATAAAACTAACAAATTATGGAAGAAAATGAGCCAACTCATTTCTAAGTCGGGATGAAAGAAGGAATGATGGATTGGATTTCTCCCACCTCACCCCTGCTAAACAGGGCCACATGAGAAACATTTCAAATGAGACACTAGGATATCTGCCAAAAGAAACATTTTCCAGAGAGGGAGGCTGGGGACGGAGGGTCCTGTTTCATAGGTCATGCCAGTTGCCAGGAGAGAGTTACTGTGTGACGGAAGGTGTTCACCACAGCCCCCCAACTCTGCCGCTGCTGGGAGAGAAGTGACACCACCCCTGGTGTTACTTGTCCAACCCTTTGTGGTCTCATAAATGTCGGTGTCGATTTGTATCGTAAAGTGTCACTTCACCTGGGATGGAGAGAGAAGCTCACGTATCTGTAGCCAGTACCACCTTTAGGCTTCCCGATCAGAAGCTGTAATATGTTCGCAGTACTTAAGAAAGGCCTCTATTTTAAAAAACTGAGTTTGAAATAGTTCCCCTTTTGTGTTTAAGTGATCATCAAAAGCATGGGATTTTTTAATTTTTGTTTTTCCAGCACTCCTCTAGCTTTCAGCTTTAATTCTGTTTTGTTTAAAATGTATCAAGTGGTGCCTTGCTAAGATGGAGCCAAGTGACAGCTAAGATTAGAAGGCTTCCTTTTCTGGTCTCCAAGTGCCTTCTTCTTTTACACACCACTTCATAATTACATTCAGACTTACCCTTCAGACTCTTGGTCACTGACTCTATTTTTCTTTTTCTTTGCTTCGAATATATATATATATATATCTTTGGGAAATTGTCTTTGTTTAGCTTGTGATTTTTTTTCGATAACATTCATCAAAAGGGGAAAGGATTTGAGTTAATGAGTGTTTGATTTTCATTTGTTTTGTATGAGCTTTGCTTTGCCTTTTTTTGTCGTATGTTCTCTTCCCTGACTTTCTTCTTACTTGAAAATAGCCAGTGTTACGCTGGAATTCTGTTCCACTCAAATGCTTTCTTCAGTTGCAGACTTCCTATAGCTTGTGGGTTTATTACTTTTTTGTTGAAGACACCCATATCCCTTTGAGAAAAGCTTGGAAAAGCAGGAAAAGATAAAGTATAAAGTGGTTAATATTGTGAATAACACTGTACCTGAGAAAACTTACCTAGTGCTAATGGGAAACCCTGAAAGGTCACAAGAGATAAAAACGGAGCAATGCGTTTCTTTTCCACTTCTGTTTCTCAGGCTGAGCCTGTCCTCTCACCCGGCAGGTCTCTCTCCTCTCCAGGCCCAGCCTGAGCCTTCTTCATGCTCTTCATGGGTGCATCCCCTTCACCTTCCGTCTGTCCCGCTCAAGCCCCACCCCTTACATTAAGTGGATTCCACGCCTCCCAGCCCACACTCATTTTTTTTTCTTCCCAGAACCCTGGTGTGCATATACTTCGGTCCCTCCTCATTCCCTAGTGGGAATTTATCTCATTCCTAGGACAGATGATTTGCAGAGTTTCTGGATAATCTATAGAATCTATGTTGTTGTTTTTCTAAAGAGAATTACACCCTTCAGTTTTCAGGGAACTACCAGTTCTTAGGTCGTAGAAGGACCTGGGAAGGAAAATGGTCTAAACATCTCCATGGGCACCACTTCTCAAGGGTCTGGCTTTGGATTAGTGTAGCTCTGGCCAATGATTACAGAACTGGGAGCAACTACATCTGCCTTCTAGTAGGGGTGCTCCTATCAGCCTTCTGAAGGCCGGTCAGCTTGGTTTGGTCAGCACCTCCCTAAGGGATTCCCTATCTTGTGAATTCTGTCTTTATGACCCCAGAGTAACATTGTGCATTATTACATTTTGCAGGATCGACCCTTTCTGCTCCCAGCAAGATTAGTCAAACAGGGGATTTCAGCGGGGAAGGGTTACACTAGGCATAATTCTATCCTACCTTTCACAACTGAGAGAATTTAGTGCCTGGGGACTTGGATTTTTGAAAACAGAATTTGAGATGACACCTATGCCCTTTCTCCATTAGCAGTGCCTTCGTTTTACATGGAGATTAATTTTCTTACTACCCCAGACAAATAATCTATTCTATAGGTATCATGAGATGAATACAACCCAACCTTTACCACACTCAACTTCTACCCACCAGCCCCTACAACATATTCCTGGGGACAAGAATATATATTGTCTACAAGGATGTTATCAAGTGGGAATTCATGGAGTGCTTCTGTGACTGTTACAATATATTCTTTGGTTACGTAAGCTTGAACGTCACTTATTTTTGTGGGTAGTGTTCACAGTCAAGAAATGAACAGCATGGATGTCTTTATAATGAACTGCCTGCACTTCTTGAGTTCATGTTCAGTGGGAAATAGTGCTTTCCACACTACACTCTGGTCTGGAAAGATGCATCTCTATCATGATTCTAAAGGATAATTAATCATTTAAGCTTATTTTGTATGTGGAAATATGAAGGGGATGGTCTTTCCCATCTAAACTCAGACTCACAGATTTTCAATCCTAACTGAAAATATTCAATAGCTTCTCCTATTAAAAGTAGACTCAAAAAGACAGTGTGCATACCTTTTTTCTTCTATCACCCAGTGTACTCCTTGGCACATAGTAGGTGTGCAAAAATATGTGTTCTATACAAATAAGTAATAGGGTGCCTACAATGATCCATCATGCTTGGTTTGATGTGTGCAGAAAGGCTGATCACCATTTTGAACTGCATAATGGGAGGAAGCTGTGTTTGTTTTCCCTTCCCAGCAGCTGATTAAAGAGTAAATAGCAAACCTGCAGGAATACAATAGGAGTGTGTATCAGGTGGGACTGAACGCTGACCTTGTTCCCCGGCTGTTTGGCTGTTTGTAACCACAAGCCCTCTGTGTCTTTTGGTTTCCCTTCTGCTTAGATGCCCAGCCCACGGAAGGAGAGAGGGAGATATGGAACCAGATCAGTGCTGTCCTCCAGGATTCCGAGAGCATCCTCGCAGACCTGCAGGCTTACAAGGGCGCCGGGCCAGAGATCCGAGACGTATGCCAATGACACTGCTGAGCTGACCACTCCTTTTGGAGGAGAAGGGAAACACACACACACACACACACACACACCACACACACACACACACACACAGAGCAAGATTAAGTAATAGACCTAGAATTTCCTAGTGTAGTGGGAAGAACAAGGAAGGTAATGTGTCTTAAAAAAATATACATATGAATGGCCCCTTTTATTCTAGTACATTAATCTGAGCACACAGTGCTGTAGACCGTATAAAATATTAGCCATTCTCTTCTTAGACATCCATGCGATATTGCAGAACTCACATTTAAACAATAATTTGTCAGTCTATTACTTCATTTGAGGAAAACATATACATAAAGCCTATGAACAACAGTTGAAATATGAGTCTGGGCTTACATGAACTTTCCAGCATTTTGTAATAAGTTTGGCAGGTTCCACCAGCATCACAAACAGCGGTCATAAACTATCTCACTTTAAGTAGCCTGTAGGTCTGTCGTTTTCAACTGACTTTTGAGATTAAAAACATAAATACGTGAGAAACAAAACAACAACCAAAACAAAAAAGGAAAATTTCAGTGTGGCTTTTGAGACTTCATAATGCCTGAAAGGCAAGACACTTCACACTCTTTTTATTTGAAATAATTAGTTTTGTGGATGTATCAGCACATACCCATGTGTACACACACACACACACACACACACACACACACACACACACACACACACCCCTTACTGGCACTGCCATCATCATTCTGGAAAAAATACTGCTACCATCACAGTCCTCAAGCTGCTGAAACCCAGACAAAACAGCATTTCTAAGAAAGGAACAGCCTGTTAAAAGGTTGTTCTACCTCAATAAAAATATAAACTAAAAATTTAAAACAAAAAGGTTGTTTTTCCTACTTCAGGGGTCACCATTAATGTAGGTAATTTAGGTAACATCGCAGACTGGCAGGAATGTAGTACATATTACAGAGAAAGGAAAAGCCTGCACTTCATAATGAGCACGAGCTCGAGCTCGAGCTCTACTTTAAAAGAATAAATGGTGATGGAGGAGAGCTGAATTGCTTCCAATTAGATGTGCATTTTTTTTTACATTAAAGATAATGGAAACAAGTAAGTTGACACAGGATCTAATTGTAGAGTCGTTTGCATTATGTTCAAGTGCTAAAATCTCCATTCTAATTGAGCATCTTGGAGGACTATCCAATGAGCTGCTGTCAATTTAAGAAATACACATTAGCAAAGTACACTAGGAATTGTATTTTTTAAAACCAAAATCCTTTCTCAATCTTAAGTCATTTTGATAGGGAGCTTATTGCTTCTTAAACCATTCTATGATTTTTTTTATAGGCAATTCAAAATCCCAATGACATTCAGCTTCAAGAGAAAGCTTGGAACGCGGTGTGTCCTCTGGTCGTGAGGCTAAAGAGATTTTATGAGTTTTCCATAAGGCTAGGTGAGTATGTGTTTATAGTTTTTGTGTCCCATGTGTGAAGTTCTGTTATCATGTTTGAGGAAGTAGCAGGAAGATGTCAGTGCCTTAGGAAATGTCTCCCATCCATCCACTATGTCTTATCAGAAACTATAGACAGCGACTCCTGTCATTTTCATTTCTTTCCATTCGCCTCAGCATCTCGTCTCCTGAAGTTCCTGGCCTATTTAGAGTGTCTCTACTGTTGGGTGTCTCTTTAGTCTTGTTCTCAGCGAAAGCCAGCTCTTAACAGTTTTGTCATACATTTCTAGGTGGTAGAGAAGCTGGAAGATACAAGTTATCTGCTAACCCAAGAAGAACTTGGTTAGCTGGAGTCATGTGATAAATTTAATATAGTAAAATACAAGAAAAACAAACATGATGTTTGCTTTAGAACAAAAGCAAACAAAACAAAACAAAATTCTGTCCAGGTACAGCATGGCTTTGTAGAAGCAAGAGTAAAGTCAAGTCTGCTTGGCAACAGGCTCAGTTTAACCACTGATATGATGTAACCACTGTCCCCAAAGTAAAGCTATCTGAGGTTTCACTAGTTAATATAGTATATCTAGAATGAGGAAGAGGGTAGTCATATTCTACTCTACTTTTGCCATAAACAAATGCTACATTTTAGGAGGAAAGCAGAGAGATTGAAATACTTGGGGAGAATCACAGCTATGATGTCAGGAGAACTTGAAGCTAAGACCCAAAGGGAGTAGTTGAATAAAAGTGAACATTTTTCAGGAAGAGAGAGCTTCTGAAGACTCTCAGGTTGATGAGGGATC